CAAGTTGGCTTGCAACGGATCAAAACATTTGGCCAAATCCAAAGTTTTCTATTGCTTCTGACCTTCCAGATAAGAAAACCGTTAAACAAATATTTTTGTCAAATATGTCTTTCGAATTATTCGATAAATATTCAACATTTACTAGGTTATTGAGGGTTGTCGCTTACTGTATGAGGTTTAGGACAAACACATTAGGCAGAACACATAACATGGGGGCACTCACGGTGAGTGAACTTGAAAACTCTTTGTCATGTTTAATCAAGTTGGCACAATCGCAATGTTTCCATTCAGAAATTCATGCACTTCGTCAATCAAAACAAATCCAAGTATCTTCTAAATTAATAATGCTCAATCCATTTATTGATGCAGAAGGAATATTGAGGGTGGGAGGCAGACTGAACAAGGCAGATATCTGTTATGGACAACGACATCAGATTATTTTGGGAAAGGACCATACATTCACCAAACTATTGATAATTCATGAACACTTAAAACATTTACATTCTGGCGCTCAGGCTTTATTATCAATAATACGGTTGAGGTATTGGCCAGTAGGGGGAAGAAATACTATCCGGGGTATTTTGCGCAAATGTGTAATTTGTTTCAGAAACAAACCTAAAGAGTACCAACATATCATGGGACAATTACCAACAAATCGTGTGACACCAGCTCGAGCATTTTCAAATTGTGGCTTAGATTATGCAGGACCATTTGAGGTCAAGGCAAGCAAATTAAGAGGACATAAAGTTATTAAGGGGTACATGTGCATATTCATCTGCTTCGCTACAAAGGCTTGTCATTTGGAGTTGGTCGGGGATCTATCTACTGAAGGTTTCTTAAATTGTTTCAAAAGGTTCATATCAAGGCACGGTTTGCCTAAAAATATGTATTCAGATAATGCTACGAATTTTGTTGGCGCGAATAATGTAATCAAACCATTATATGAATTTTTGAACGAGCAAACTCATCAGACAAAATTTCAAGAATTTTTCACGGGACAATCGATCAATTGGCATTTTATCCCACCTCGTTCACCACATTTCGGGGGGCTTTGGGAGTCTGGGGTAAGAGTAGCCAAATATCATTTGAATCGAGTTGTAGGAAACTTAATATTGACATTTGAGGAACTATACACTATAATGACGCAGGTTGAGGCATGCATGAATTCTCGTCCATTAACACAATTAACTGAGGATCCATCTGATCTGAATGCACTCACTCCTGGTCATTTTCTAATCGGTACGCCGATTACAGCCTTGCCTGAAGCCGACCTTAAAGACTTCAATCCTGGGCGTTTGAATCGTTACCAGCATATGACGCAATTGGTTCAACATTTTTGGACCAGATGGTCACGTGAATACCTAAGCCTATTGCAACAAAGAAATAAATGGCAGTCATCCACTGATCAAGTATTACCTGGGAACATGGTGATAGTGAAGGAAGACAATTTGCCACCACTTAAATGGCAACTAGCCAGAGTTTTAGAATTATGTTCTGGTGATGACAATGTTGCGCGTGTGGCAGTGATAAAAACCAGCAAAGGGGTATTCAAGCGGGCCTTATCTAAACTGTGTATCTTACCTATTGATACGCAGTGAATTTAACATTTTTGAAAGTCATGACGTCTTTCAAGGGGGCCGGCATAATATGTTCATATATCATACTCTCTGCGAGGGATAACGAAGACCCAGTAGATGATAAGTTGAGAAATTTTGCAGTTTGCTATGCATATCAGAAGTTAGCGACGGACAAGAGACGACGATAGTGATCAACAATTTTGATTGACTTTTGCCGTCATTAAAATAAAAAAAAAACTGTCACTATTCTTGATTTCATTTTTCATGTTATACAGTCCATTATTTTCATTATATGTTTAAATACATACGAGGTTTCATTACATCAAATAGAAAAATTGGGATACACCCTAACAGAGTTTAAGGACTTTTTTCAACCCTGGATCATGCAAAGAACAGATGGCGGAACCTAATTTTCGTTTATTCATTTCAGTAAATAATGAGAATTGATTCAATAACCCTGAACACAACTAATGGGTACCTTCATCAAATTATCTAAAACGAAAATTATATGATTTGCAAAAAATGTTGTATGTTTCATGGTCGTAGCTAACGTTTCATGGCCTGAATACATAAATACAACTATTATCAGTATGGTTTATTCAGAATTTGCATTTACTCAAAAATAATCGCTCAGTCAATGAAGAAGATATGGAATATGATTCTTGGTTATTTTGCCATATTTTTTAATGGATGTGTTTAAACAAAAAAGTCTATCAATACAATATTTAAGCTGGTGATATGTCCCACAAGATCACATCTACCAATATTCTTCATATTGTTTATAGTTTTCAAGGTATTGCAAGTTTTTGACACATATTTTTTCAAAAGTGCAGCAAAACCCTTGAGATTTTCTAGGAAATTTCGAATTGTTGTAAATTCAATCAATTGAAGATAACATATCAAATGATATCCTATTTTGAAAGTATTGCAATTACATATGTTTTTTCTAAGGAATTTGCTGTGATACTGAAGAATGTTTGAGGAAATTATGAGAAACAATTGCATTTTGTGAAAAGTTGCATGGATGTATAATGTATATACTGTATGGATGATAGAATCAATATCAGCTGCTAAAATCTTATAGGACATATTACCAGCTTTAATTTTGTATAGTTTGACTTCTTCACTAAAATTCCCCTTCCTACTACCACTTGGTAGTTCCAGGTACTTTCAGAATGTTTACCCCATAATTTCTTAAAATACATTCCAGGAGTGAAAAAACTAGCCCCATTCATGTCCTTTACACTCCCCTTTTTGGGTAATCCAATTCATTTGATAGGTATATTCTGTTATATTCTAGGGATGAGAAGATTTGGTAGAACAAAAATATCTACTCCCTACCTCCTCTAACTCCAACCACTGAACTTCACTCTCCAAGAGGTCTTCTCTCAGTAGACAATATCTACTACTTTGAAACCAGCATCTACATTCATGCAATATTAAATTAAAGAAAACACAAGATCACACTATTTAGATCAACTCAAGATGTTCACTCACACTCTACAAGAAACTGTACCAATATTTACATCCCATCTATCAGATCCAAACAGGGAATAAAGTCCATCCATAATAAAGGTAAAAAAAATATCATAATGAATTGCCAGGACAGATGAAAAATCACCCCTTTCATAAATTCCAAACGGAATTGAAAAAACGGATTGTAAATGAATAAATAAAAACCAACACTTCCATCCTTATTCTTTTTCTTGTTGTTCATTAATATTAATACATATAAGTTATGGGTATTCTAATTCATATGTCTTCATCATGTGCAATCCTTGTACTACTTAACCTGTGTACTATAGTACTATATATGTATATTATGTATATTCAACTGTCAGTTTTAATCTTCTCCTGAAGATGCTAGCATAGTTAGCAAAACATGTGTGGAGGTGTAAAAAATCGGTTTGGTAACTGGTAAAACAGTGAGTAGTGTATTATCATGCCAAAGATTCCAGTCTTTGATATATATTCAACTGTTTTTATTATTGTTATTGCTGTTATTATTAACTTTCTTTCTTTGTTCTTAGCATAGAACAAAATGTATGTTTTTCTAATTAGAACAAATAAAACACTAATTCTCAATATTGACAACAAATTGATAACCTCTAGTTATCCCATAGGTTGGAAAATTGGAGTTTTGATTGCCATCAATTTGAGGTAATTCATAAAGTGGATATTTTAATAATTAAATTGAGTTTCAATTATTTCATAGTAGACAGCATCAAACTTCACAAACAATATACAATTTGCATTTCTGTTGAACTTTCTCAGTAAAACATAAATTTTATACTTGTTGGCCACATAAACTTTTGAGTACATAATAATTTGAAATTTTGATTTATTGGAAAAGGTAAAATTTCACTTTCTGTTTATTGATTCACTTCTGAATTCACCTAAAAAATGGATCCTAAAGAGTTTCAACAAGAGAAACATTTTTGTACAAATTTGGAGGCTTTGTCCAATTTTTATATAGGTAGAAATACTGATCTTTTCATTGCCACCTCTCTATCAAGCAGAAAAAACACAATAATATCCTCCATAATGACACCAACTCAGAAAACAATGATACTTGAATGGGTTCATAGAAAATTTCAGGTCTAAAATCAGCTAAAGAGTTACTCTGTGAATCAAAAATTTCTTTGTTATGAAAAATTAACAGAAATTTGGTTGAATAATAATTGGGTACCACAAAAATGATACTGGACACAATAATAAGTTTAGTCAATCATTTTCTATACTCAAATATGAATTTATACACCTGATAGACAATCATAATGATTATTCAATTAAATATCAATAGCATCAGACCCATCTATATAAAATGGAAAAAATCAAATTAGGAAGAAACTGAAGAGTTTTCAAATTATGAGGTGTAAAAATAATACAAATTACTTTCAATTGAGCTTAGCTTAGTCACTTTCTACTAATGTCTTACTTGACTAATGTTTCAACCATTTTTTTGTAATCAATTCCTTTAGAGTGTAAACTTCACTGCCAAATAAAAATGGAAGTGTATAGACTGCTGACCCTTATTCTTTTTTTATAGGCTGCCAACCATTCAGCAGCAGAAAAAAGGAATTTAAAAAAAAACTATTGCACATGGGATTTGAACACTGGACTACAGGATTGACAAGCCAATGTCTAACCACTAAGCTACTAACCCTCTTGAATCTTTTTGGTGTACAGAAAGAATGCATTCCACTGAATGGTGGGCCGTTTGAAGAAAAAGTATAGTCTGCTGACAGGTAGGCATCCCAAAAAAAAAGTATAGCTATACTTTTATTTTGGGTTGCAGACCAATTTTATACAGAAAGAATCAATTCAACTGGCACTACTGGCAGATTAGAGAAAAAGTATAGTTTGCTGACTGATCAGCAGCCTAATCACCAAGTATACACTTTCAAAATAGAATATAAGTACCTGTTATTCCAAGTTTGCTAGTTTTCTGCACATATTTCAGTCCATGCACGATCTCTCTCTGCACAAGGAACTCAATCCGTATTTTGTAGGAAACTCCCTCTTTGATAGTAAAAGTTTCCTTCTTGAGTTGTGAGACATCCCCACTGAGATCCAGTGCAATTTCAGGACGATCTGCTGCTACCAGCACCAACCTCTTGACAATAACTTTCCTTGGATTATCAGGCTCTAAAAATAGCTAATTGAAGTTCATGCATACAGAAATTGGCAGGGGAAATGCTGACCTACTATGACTGGACCAGTTTGTGCTTGGCCAAGAAGGGCTTCTTTGTATTTCCTCAAACTCTCATCTTCCTGATCAATTTGCAGGATTTCCTCAATTGTTTTTTCTGGAGGAGGCTTGTAGTTGGTTTCTTGTTCATTTTCTACAAATTCTTCAGGGGTAGCTACTTCCTCTACTTCAGACATTGTGACACTGTGAATGAAATTGGTGTATCTTGAGGTTCCTTGGATATCTCAGACATTATTTTTAAATTGACACCTCACCTCATCTCACATGAATATCTTGTAATAATTACTGATTAAGTATTGAATCAACTAATCATAGACAATTTCTAGATTCAATTTATCACCTATATTCTTTTGGCACACCTTTAGCTCCAAATTTGAAAATCACTTTTTGCAGGATATTGTTAGATAGTATTATAATAGTATTCACACCTTAATATTCAATATAAGCTATTGTACTTTTGCCGAAAAATAATGGGAAATGACCTGCACACAACTGTACAATGGAAATTCGCTTAACAGATTATCAATAGACAAAACAGTAAAATAGTATTATTTCTAAATAAAATGTTTGTATGAAGCTATCAATTCATGGATGAAATGAATAAAACAGCTACTTCTTTACATACCTTTCAAGTTTTCAGTGGTTTGCCGACTGTGAAAAATTTAAATAGATCTTTCTTATCACTACACTGCTGATAATGCAATGTGTGTGGTAAATGGGAATACCTACTATATCTTAAACCAAATAAGAGCAAAAAAAATACGAATAAGAAAAAGGAAAAAGACGTTGATTGATGCGCTATTTATAGAATGTAAAAAATATAGCCGAGAAATTGGAAAATCACATGAAAATTGCACAGAAAATATGTATTCAGAAAATCACAAAATCAAAATGGGAATTGAAAAGTGGGAGAATAGTGGGAGTGTCGAAACTTCTTCCGTCAAAAAGTGTTAATTGTCAAAATTGTCAAAAAGTTGAGACAGTGTCTCGTTGCCCGAGTCTCGTAATCTCAAGAATTCACATGCCCGGACGCAATCCCGGACGTATTCCACTGACATAGTTGTGGTTGTGATGGTGAAATTCATATTCACTGGTGCCTGCAAATAGAGTAGTTGTCTAAAATAAGGATGAAGGCAAAATGAAATGGAAATCTCTTCCAAAACACAGTGAACTGCAACGCACATTTTCGTAGGCTCAGATTTGGCTTAAAAAATTCAAAGAATATCACTTTTGGCTCCTTCACTAATTCTCTGTCATGTTATTCAAACAAGTTTCAAGCTTTTGTATTATCATTCAATTATATCTTGAAAGAATAAACAATCTCCATTTACCGCCAACTCCACTCTCCACTCATAACACGGAACAAATGTCATCTGTCGTAAGCTGACATCTGACATTCTCCATTACCTGCAATGATACTTGTAATATTGGTTCGCTAGATGTTCGCTAGTCGCTTATTTCATAGACTATTTATATGGTCACTCTCTCAGACGAATATTTATTCGTCTAAGGTCACACTAGTCGCTTATATGGTCCCTTGATGGAAATTAACGTTAAAGTCATGATGGAATATGGTTAAAAGTCATCTCAACCATGAAAATCATTATTGATTTTTATGGACTTCGATATTTGATGTCATGTTTATTTGCAGATCTGAGAAGCAAAGTGTTGATACTTGTCACTAAATCGGAGAAAACCATCCAGTCACGACGAATCGAACAAAGAATCCGCAAAGAAAAATGGCCAGAGAATACTTTACAGAATTCACATCCTTATATTCGTACGGAAAACGATATAATGATATCCTTTCCAGATTCTCAAGAAAACAGAAAGACAGATATTCACCTTAATGTCTCTATGGACACACAACAGGTACCCTTACGAGGGGAGAGTATCAACTCGGCGTTTATAAACCCTTAAAGACTTTTCATAGATTCATATTCTCTGTAGGTCTCACGATTCAAATTTGAAATTGATACTTAGTTTTAGATCTGAACAGCACATTGTTTGGCCTTCAAGGTCCTTAATATAGCCCTCGTGATTGAACATGTGGAAGATATATACCTACTGGAAAAACCACTATACGGACAAAAAGCGGATATGTAGCAATCTAGTTATAAGGACGTTGAAAATATTATTCAGGTATGTCTCAGATTCAACATCTATGTATTTTCTCTAATGATATTTTCTGATTCACATGTACTTCGTTTTAAATGTGATGTTTAGCTGCAGATCCGAAAAGCAGAGTGTTTAATACATGCCACTCAATCGGAGAAAACCACCCAGTCAAGACGAACCGAACAGAAGATCCGCAAAGAGACCTGACCAGAGTATACTTTACAGAATTCAGATCATTATATTCGTACTGAAGGCAATATATTGATATCCTTTCCAGATTCTCAAGGAAACAGATAAGACAGATATTCACCTTCATGTCTCTATGGAAACACGACAGGTACCCTTACGAGGGGAGAGTATCAACTCGGCGTTTATAAACCCTCTCTGCAAAGGAGGTAGGCGCATGGTGGGTTAGGTATATACAGTGTTCTCCATTGCAGAGAAAATTGTTGTTTATCTGCCTGTCTTGTCTTCATTGAGATAGTTGATGAATTACAAAAATATATCGCGTTTCAGTTATGAATGTTGAAAACAATATCCAGACTTTTCATAGATTCTTATTTTATGTAGGTCTCATCACGATTCAAATTTGAAATTGATACTTAGTTTTAGATCTGAGCAGCACATTGTTTGGCCTTCAAGGTCCTCAATATAACCCTCGTAATTGAACATGTGGAAGCAGATACGGAAAGAAAACGGATATGTAGCAATCTAGTTAGGGACGTTGAAAATATCATTTAGGTATATCTCAGATTCAACATCTATGTATTATCCCTCTAATAATATTTTCTGATTTGAATGTACCTACTTCGATTAATATGTGATGTTTAGTTGCAGATCCGAAAAGTAGTGTTGGATACTTATCGCCAGTCAATCGGAGAAAACCATCCAGTAAATACGGACCGAACAGAAGATCTTCAAAGACGACTGACCAGAGTTTACTTTACAGAATTCAGATCATTATATTCGTACGGAAGGCGATATATTGATTACCTTTCCAGATCCTCAAGCAGACAGATATTCTGTCTCTATGGAAACACGACAGGTACCCTTACGAGGGCAGAGTATCAACTCGGCGTTTATGAGCCCTCTCTGCGAAGGAGGTAAGCGCATGGTGGGTTAGGTATATACAGTGTTCTTCATTGCAGAGAAAATTGTTGTTTATCTGCCTGTCTCGTCTTCATTGAGATAGTTGATGAATTGATGAATTACAAAAATATATCCTTTTCCTTTTCCTCAATCAAAGGACAGCTCATCTAGTCAGCTTTGCCGACGACACGGTAATACTCTATGAAGGCGATAACTGGAATGAATTAAATGAAAAAATAAAAAGTTATCTTCCTGAATTGTTAACGTGGTTTGATAACAGACTCCTATCCATCAACTATAAAAAAACATTCTACTTACCATTTTGCAGCTCATCTTCTCAACCTCCATTCCAAAATATTGATCTCGATAACAACTTGCAAATAAAATCTAAATCTCAAATAAAATATCTGGGCATAATGATGGACAGTCACCTCCGTTGGGACAAGCACATGACCTTCTTAGTGAGTAAGCTGCGTTGTGTTTTATACAAATTCAAACAGATAATGAATGTTATCAACTTCGACCAGAAGAAGACCATATATCATAGCCTATTCGAATCCCATCTCAATTATGGAATAATAGGGTGGGGTGGAGTGTATCGAACATACCTCAAACAAGTAGAAGTGATCCAAAAGAGATTCCTAAGAATATGGCTGGGAAAAAACACACGTTACCCCAGCGATGAACTTTACATGGAGGCGGATATATTAGATCCCAGACAACTATACTTCTGTGATGTATTAACAACCCAGTTTCTGCATCAAAATGAGCTCAAAGAATATACACATAATTACCAAACAAGACGAAAAAACAAATATATACCACCATACATGAACAAAAGAATAGGTCAAAACTGTTATCAATACATAGGCCCAAAGATATTCAATACAATCCCCGATTACTTGACAAAACTCAATTCCCTTAATAAATTTAAGAAGGAAGTGAAAAAATACGTTAGAAGTGTACCAAGAATTGAAATTCATAAAATTTTAGAACTATGACTTCAAAATCACATCGTATCTTAACTGAGTATTATAAAAATCCGCATAAAAAGCCATGCTTTACTTCCTTGCCTATCACTGTTACCATTTTTGTATATATCTTACTCCACTTCAAGATTTTCTTGTATTTTTTAACGAATTTTATATTTCATTAATCATATTTTTTATTATGTACTATATGTAACCTGTACTTTACAATTCATATCTTGTCTTTTGTTTTTTGTTTTTTGACTTTTTTTTCTCTCATATGTCATATTTAAAAATTGATCGAAATCTTTATTTGAACTTTGCATTTTATTTTATTCCTATAATTTATATATTATTGTGTCGATTTTGTATTACTGATTATATATATATATTTTCTATTATCTCACACACAAACTATCCTTGATACTCATGTATTTGAGGTATGGTTTCGTGAGTATTTCGTTTATTTACATATGCTATCGTTACTTATGCACATTGTCTTGTAAATGATATATTTCTTCGTAAATAAACTATACTATACTATACTATATCGCGTTCCAGTTATGAATGTTGAAAACAATATCCAGACTTTTCATAGATTCATATTCAATTTAGGTCTCACGATTCCATTTTGAAATCGATACTTAGTTTTAGATCTGTGCAGCACATATTGTTTGGCCTTCAAGGTCTTCTTAAATATGATCCACGTAATTGAACATGTGGAAGATGCCTACTGGAAAAACCAACGATGCCATGTTATGAGAAGAATTCAGAAAACATACGATTTCCCACCACGCCCCTTTTTCATAAATTCCCACAATGCCCAATTCCTACCGTGCCCAACTTCCTTGGATTCCCACTGCACTGCCCACTTTTCATACATTCCCACTAAGCCCAAATCAAAATGTATTTCTGGAACTTATTTGGGGCAGAAGGGCTGTTCGCATCAAACTTCAATACCGTTTTCATTTTGTTCCATAATCGATATCAGGATAAGAGGG